GCTACGCGTCGTGGTTTCCTACGCTCCTCTCGTGTTCTCCCAACATCCCAAGTGTTTTGATCAGAGTATCAAACACGGAAAACTGTTTTTGATCTGTTAATTCAAAAACTTGATTTCATTTTTAAGTATCCTTGTCTATTAAAAATCTATTTTCATAACTATAACATTTTTGATATGTATGAGGTGTGTGATGACATCGTTCATCTCTCACTATTCTGAAAGAATAAAGAGTTCTTTAAGTACTTTTACTGGTTGCATATCAGTGGTGTTTCAATCCTATTCATATTCATGGAAGATATTAAAGAGACTGGTAATAGTGACCATGGAAATAATGTCAGCTTACCAGCAAAAAATATTTTTCCTTAAAAAACTGTTTCCCATTCTTATCACAATTTTTGAATTTGAATAATAATATTATCCCAAGTAAAACATTTTTCAATTTGCAACTTTTAGGTTAACTCATTATAAGGATGAAGGACTTAAAATTATACCCAGTGGTCTCTGTTCATGCATGGTCTATAAATTTGTTTGTCCTGGCTGTAATGCCAGTTACGTCAGTGAAATGGCAAGGCATTTCTCAACACTCATTCATGAGCACCATAGACAGATAAGAGTTCTCACATAAACAAACATCTAAGTAGCTCCCCTACTAGTCTCCCCCACAGCCGCTTTCAGTTTCGTCACGCCACGCTTTCTCCCCTGAGTAGCTACTCGGGGGAAAAAGCGTTGCCTGACGACACTGAAAGCGGCTGTGGGGGAGACTACTCCCCTACATGTCGGATCCCAAATTCTCCAGAGTCTTTTTTATTTATAGATCAAGCTAACTAACTAATTTTAGCTTAAAGATAAAAGAAGCTCTGCATATTAAATCCAAATCCGATGACTTAATTATCAACTACATCAGGTCAACCATACACTTGTACATTATTTGTATTGTTATTCCACTTTATTGTTTACTAAATTGTCATGACCATTTGTATTTATTTTTAAAACACTGTATAAATACACCTTCACGTCCACGACCCTGCGCCATGTTTACAATTATAACACAGGAGGCCCACGCAACCACAATTGATTTTGTAAAATGTTTTGTAAAATGCCAAAAAAATATGTTATCATTTATATGAATCAATTTGCATATGAAGACTAAAAAAATCATTTTAAATAGCTTATATCTTATAAAATTTATTTCAATATCCACATCATTATTCATGCAATGGATAAAAACGAAAAAAGTACTATGAAACAAATTCCGTTTATTTGATGCAGTCAAAGAAAAGAAAAAATAGAAAGATAAGAATAAAAAAGAAAAAGAAAAAGGAAAAAAAAAAAAGAAAGGAAAAAATGTGGCATCTTTTTGCTCTTTTCGACGACCTTTTTTGACGACTTTGTTGCATCAAGATCACTCAAGTTTTTTCCCGGGTGGTGTATCAGTATTGAGATAAGAAAATATAATTTCAAAATAGCTTAATTTGCATTGATATTTGGCTTACCAGTGACTAAGTAAGTTATTTGAGTGATCAACTATGTTTGAATTAAAAACAACAACAGAGAGAAAAATTTTAAGTTGAAAACACGTGTTGAAGATTGTGTGGGCTTCCTGTGTCATGATTGTCAGAATGGAGAGCCGTGGACCAGAGAATCAGCTGTGTGATATGGGAACAGAAAATTCGTAAACCTCTTTTAATAGCGATAAGTTGCTATAAGTGAGTCGTTAGAATATTGAATGTAGTCCAGTAAAGRAGATCCTCTGTGCAAAAAAGAAACAAAATTGAATGAATTTATCAAACTTTCACGATCTGTCAATCAAATGTTTTTTATCTTAATTTTTTGCTGTTGTCAGTGTTGTTGGCATGTTTATAAAGTTACTTCTAGTTCAAGAATTTGCTTTTGGACTAACTCAACCTTACCTCAACCTTTACTCAATCTTAACTCTAACTCAACTCTACTCAACTTGTATCTCGCTCATTATCTTATCTCATTCCACTCACATATGACCAGGATTCAAAATAATTTTTCAGGAAATGCTGAAATTTGCAGGCTTTTTGGGTGTGGCTCATTTTTTTTAGCTGCCTTCTTTCAATTTTCTTAATAAAAACAGAAATCATTGGATGTTTCGAGACTTTGAGCCTTCAAAACAGGCTCCCTTTTGAGGGTAAAACATTTTAATGATAAATAGTCACAATTTATTGATCAGAATCACTTTATTTGTATATTATATTTTTGTGTTTTTGGTTAGACAATGGCTGGCGAAGATGCTGAAATATCCAGCTGCTATTTTGAACCCTATATGACGAGTCTGGGCATTGAACACAGGTTGCTATGTCACCTATGCTTCACTTAATACTAGTATATGATAAAATGAGTGAAATAAGCAAAGACATGGCAGCCATGTTGGCTAATATACATTAAAAAACTCATTAATAATTCATGAAGCAAAACAATAAACTTGGATTTTCTCTATCAAACTTGGTTCATTTCGTAAAGAATTCGGTATAGTATGAGAACATACATCATGAGTTTTTTAAGCCGTTTAATAAACTCTCAGATCGTGTTTTATCGGGTCTAAAACCACTCGGCTGCGCCTCGTGTTTTATACCCGATAAAGCACTCCTGCTCGTTTATTAAACATTACGTAACAAGTTAATTTTTATTGGCAATTCTTTTGTTAATTTCAATCAAGAAGTGCCTATGAAATCATACTCAAGGGAATGACATGTGGTCTGAAATGGGCAAAACATTACACCCAGCTAGGCTTGAGGTCTATTGTTTTATGACTAGTGAGCTAAGTACTGTTTTACTTATATTTTTTACATACCTAAGATATCAAAAGCAGCCATGGTTATTTCCAGCCAGTTAGATATTATTACCGACGAAGATTGAGAATAAAGACAAAGTTTGATCTTATTTGCTAGCAAATAAGATCACTTTACGAACAAATGCATGGGTAGAATTTAGCATAGAAATCGCAACAAAAATACATTCTCAAAATTGTTTGTTCGCTGCTGATTAACAGACCATTTAAAAATACATTGATCATACAGTATACTTACTAGGTAACCCTTTGAAAGATACCTTTGCTGTAATCGTCATGTTATGGATAAAACATGGGTAAAACAAGCCGATCAAGGTCTACAAATGCAGAGCAGCGACTTCCGCCTTCTTTCCGCCATCTTGTTCTCTCCAGAAGCAAGGAGGTCTGGGTCGGTCTGGGTGTGGCTAAGATTGGTCAGGAAGGGGTGGGGTGGGAGAATCGTGACACCTAAAGAAGATTTATTTATAATGCTAGTTGGAGTGCACTACTTATACCAATACTCTTTTTTTACGTACACGCAATTGCCCTATTTCACTATGACGTCACATCAAAACAATCTATTGTTTAAACGCAATGGATCATGGTCGTCGGAGGGGGTCAAATCAACGCAAATTCACCGAAAATTGTTCTAAAACCCGTATCAATCCACGAAAAGAAGTAGAATAGCCAGCAAACGCTCAGGATATTTTTTAGTACATATTAATACATATTATATCTGAAAACCAGGTCATTTTAGATTAAACTGTTTCGCTAGGAGCAAATTTTGTTGAATTTTCTATTGGATTTGGCGATTCTATCCCCCACATAAACAAGCAGTGACGTCATAGTGAAATAGGGCAATTACAATTGCGTTATCATTATTCTAACTCAAAGGCTTTTTCTGATTTTAAAACCGCATTTTATATGTTTCAGTGATATTCAATTAAGGAATTGAGTAAGCCCTAACGGTTTACGACCTGTTCTTGTGCATTAGCGCATTTTGTGAGCAAAACTAGAACAGTTTGGATTTTTTCCCATGTGCTTAGCGTCATTAAAGCTCATTGTGTGCAAATTTGAAACTAGTTGAGGTTTCATACGCCCATTTTGCAGCTTTTATTGATTTTTCCTCAAAGAGAGTAGTCGTCCTTGCATTGCCCGGCTGTGCGTTAGTGAACTAATGTGCGCACTTCACTCGAGTACTCTCATTGAAGGTATATTACATGGTACAAAATGGTTAGGATGTTTGCTTAGCATTTAGAGGTTTTACCCTACTCTCTTGTCACCTCCGTCTTGCTATGGTGCAACGTTAGCGAGTTATTAATGTATTTAGTGATGAAAACACCCGGTGGGGGGGGGGGGGGTCAAAACAATAAACGGAAAGAGCGCGCGTACGCAAGTTGATGGCGCACGGGAGTAGGGTAAGGCGAAATTTAAATTGCATCCGGTTACTAAAAATAGGTGGAGCCATTCGTTATAGCTATGGATGCATTAATGTTTTATTTTGAAAAATATCTATAGCAATTACTATTTTAAAAGGTGAAGTTTTGTTGGTATTTGTAAGTGTATGCAATTTGCAATCGTATGCAGTGAATTCAAGAAACGTGGTCGTTGCCTACGCGACTGGACCGAAATGGAGCATTGGTAGTGCTGTAGACCAGGAAGAAATAACTGAATTGGTCTATTATTGGCTCTGAATTAGATAATTGTGCTTACTCAATATACATAATAAGATAAAATGGGTAACAACAACCCATTAAATGTATGCCTTGGGGTTTTACGAAAGGAAAAAGGAAGCGCTTCAGTGATTTCTACCCATACTTTAATGTACATGTAAACTTTATTTAACCAGGGTGGCCCATTTAGCTACGAGGCTGGTATCCCGAGAGGGGTCATGCCTAAGAATGTCATGGTTTCTTTGGGTGCAGTCGCGTAGGCTCGCGAGAATGCCAACTAATTTGTTTGAATGTGTAAGTCTTGCAAAGGATAATAACGCAGCACTTATATAGGTCGGGGCCATAATTGTTGGAACATAGGACCTGAGACCGAAATAGGACATGGTACAATCAATGACTTTATAAAATGAGTGTAGTCTGAAGGATCCTTCCAAACTTTTAGCCTTTTTTTTAGATCCAATGCATATTGCAGATCTCAATTACGCTCCACGACGACTGCGCGCACACACTTTATAGATATTATTTTTGTTTGTGCATTAAAAAAATAAATATAATTTGAGGCGAAATGATAATGATTTAACCGTGGAAATAAAAAAGAGAAAAACTGAACAAAACAAAACTCAAACTAAAAAAACTTCTTATACACCGTGACGCGCCTGCCAGCCAAGTGAATGACCTGTTGAACAAAATAGTTTTGTCAACTTGTTGTGACCGCATGACGTATTCAACTTGTCACGATAGATAGTATTAAACTGGCACGCGCGATATTATCTGCCGATGTCGTCACGTATGGAAGATTAAAGTAAATAAACAGCCATCATGGAATTCACTCAACTTATCCCACACGGAAAAATATATCCATTTTACGACGTATTTATGACAAATCTACAGCGCGTGTTACCTTTCCCCACGAGAGAATATTTTTTTTCCTTTCCCATCATTTGAAATCTATTACCTTTGCACTTTGCATTCGTTCGAGTTCACAACAATTACCAGTACCAAGCTAAGGCCAAACTATCACGAAACTACTATTTATTTTAATTAGAATTCCAAAATCACCTTTAAACATAGACACGTCCACGAAAACACAGCTTAGGCCTCCTGTGGGTGGGTTCCCGACATTTCTCTATTTCTCGTTTCTTCACAAAAGGCTGCTGGTTAAGAAAACACTCGCTAGATCAAAGCAGTTGAAAAAATACCACAGGTATTTATGTCTTAGCTTTCGTGAGACGCCACCAGAAAATAATAGAGCATTTTTACTGTTCATTAATCACCTGTCAATCAATACGTCACGTGGTCCGTCTAATCTCTTTTCGTAAGGGTGCTCTTAAAACTTTATTTGGCTGAAAATATATTTTTAAAAAATCATATGATCGTGTTCTTATGTTCAGTGCTTACTAAGTAAATAAAATCGTGCGAATTTTCACGCAGCTTCAGAGAGGAATTCTAGCTCTGATCATGATGGGTCATGATTTGTAGACTGAAAGCGAAGGTCAAACTTGCGATTTAGTGGCATGCAACAGATGAATCGAAAGTCTTTGAGTTTTAACCTGTTTTTTTATTTGACAACGTCAGCACGTACTTATTTTCGATCACGTTTTGTTTTTGTGTTTAAAATATTGAAGTCAAAACATAGATGATTCAGTTATTGAATTCTGACCTTTAGGTCTTAGACTATTGTCAGTGAAAATCTAAGAATTAAGATCTCATGACTTTCAACCTTGGTTTGAGTGGTCAATTTATGCATGGGAATTGTTATGACAAATAATTATTTCATGTACATAGAAAGCATGGCAAGAATGGTTGTTTAGACTCGAGCACGTTGCCTCAGGGATGACTAGACTTAGAGATCGATCCAGCCATGAACACCACTAATATCCATTTCGCTTCTCGTCTCCCTTCTCCGCCAGATAGTTCAGGGGCGTAGCCTGGATTTTCCGAAGTAGGGAATCGCGGGGGGGAGGGGGGAGGGGNGGGGGGGGGGGGGAGGGGGGAGGGGGCGAGCGAAATTCAAAAATCCGCCATTATGTTTGGGCCGATTAGAAACGGCGAACCAAAAAAGGTCGGGTATGAGTTACGTTTTCATATTGCAAAACTTAGAAGGATAAATGGAAATTACCTTATGAATTCCATAAAGCCGCAAAAGGAGAAACGTTCAAAATTGGAAAAATGCTAAAATTACCCAACGAATTGATTACAAGAGCAGTATTGTTGAACCAGCTTCGAGATGACAGCCTATTTTATTCCAAGGTTTTCATACTATAATAGAAAATACGGCCAAAGCATGAAATCTGGCACGTTTATTTAAATGACTAATGCTTCTGTTTCCGTCTGATGTTCACTCGACTAGGGCCGACAAGCTAATCGTCTAATCTTCGGAAAATTATCGGTCCCATTTCGGAATCCAATATCACGATACGTGATCCGATCGCGCTATGGACAGATGATTTGGTAGACAACGTGGTCAAACATAAATAATAACGTGATCTGGCGCTTTATGGATTCAGTTACTAGGATCTAGCTTACGAGAGAGAACAGATATTTGGGCGGAACTTTGATTATCCAGTATTTAGGTCGGATTAGAGGACGTACGACGGTTAAACCAAACGTTTTGTAATAAGTTTAGTCTGAACGCCAAAACTAGTACAGTGGTTTGAGGGTTTGATTTGCTCAAATATTCTGTTTTCCTGTGTTATTAGAAGTGTGACGGTACTACCTTTAGAGCTATTATTCTTCAAGATGTCTTTAACAGACAGACCTTTGCCGATGACTCAACTAAGTGTAGCTATGGTTCAAGACCTTGGGAAAATGTATGAAAATAACGCGGCTCACGAGAAAAACGATTTGGACACAGTATGGCAAAGCATGTACTCCAAAGGTCTCCACAGGAAAGTCAGCTCGCAGTGTTATTACTCGCCTGAAGATATTGAAGAAGCCCAAAACAAGTACGAAGAAGAAAAGAAACAAGGAGAAGAAGAAAAGAAACAAGATGAAGAAGAAAAGGCCAAGGAAGAACCCGAAGAACAAAAGCAAACTAATAAGAATGAAGAAGAGAATAAAGCTACGAAATCCCCCAGAGACGAGACGGAAGAAAGCCTGTTTGATGCCCCGAGAAACTTTGCAAGTGTCCATCTAGACCGAGCTCTGAATTCAGGCAGAGCTCACCTGCACGACGAAGGGCGAAGTTACAGAAAAAGAACATTTTCGGGAAGTCTTTCAGGAGGTGAACATTAGTCAAGAGCTTTTACTTTCTCAAATGAAGTTTTGAATCAACGGACCCTGGAGTCATTGAAAGACGATACACTATTGATTGATAATCAAATACCATGTGTGTGTTGGATTGAACACCTACATCGATCGCCTCGATCCTTGAACTGGAGGAAGTCTCAAAAACACATGAAAAAATCCATGTAAATATCTAGATAGCTGATCTAAGTTAAGCGTTTTCCGTGCAAAACAAAACACTTGTGTTTACGCTTGAAAACGTTTTTTTCTGATTTTATCCTAGCCACGTTTCAGCTGTATTATAATAACTACACGTGTAGAAAAAAATCAAGAAAAAAAATCGTAGGGTTTCTAAAACCTAAAATATTGATCTTGAGCTTCATTCATTGATTATATAATTTATTTCGTGATTTTAATTTTTTCTTTTCGTGTCTGTGAATTAAGCGTTGTTTTCATTCATTCGTTCAGTGTTTGTTTACATGCTGATGTTGTAATTTTGATTGGCTGAGAGTAAAGCCATTGCAGTGCTACGTGACCAAAGATACAATAGAAAACTAACAACAGATGACAAGCCGTTGCATTAATACAATTTCTGGATTCTAAAAGTACATTATATAAATTATATTTAAAATCTATAGATTTTATTTCTGAATTATTGTTCCTGACAATCATTTGCACAAAGAATAGAATTAAATGATCTGAAAAATAAATTGGAGTTGTTTATATATTACTATCGAGAGAACTTTGTTTGTGAGGAAATTAAACGTTGAATGGTTTTTGGATATTAAAAAGTTGGACTTTCTAACCTATTGAAATGACCAAATATTATCCCTAAAGCAGGTGAAAAGCTTTGATTCTTTCCAGACAAAGTGATAATGAGTTAGTGAGTTGTTGAAGTCTTGCCGGTTAACGCCTAAACAACTCCCTTGGAAATCACCACTATATAAATCAGCGTAAGCGAGTCACCAGTTGAAGGAAAAAAATATTTTTATTTCTCTTACAAGGTATAAGAAAAACAAAAAACTTCCAGGTCATGTTAGTTCACAAGCTGGGAACTTTACAGTGTGACAACTCTGGTTGGGCGAAACACAACTTTGAACTCTTCCTACGGGCTTCGTTTGGAACTTACTGTTGTTTGGCTCATTAGCAAACGTAAACACGAGTATCGTGCGACGCGTGCAAGTGCTGTGAGCCTATATCATCAAAACAAAAGAACCATCTGGGCCCAGTTGTACGAAGGGTAAATAACGCTATTCGACGGATAAATCTTATCCAGTGGATAAATTTATTGGATAAAAGCATCGACTTATCCACTGGATAAGGATAATATCCATCGGATAGCGCTGTGGTTCGTCACCTGGGCCCTTTTCACAACAGGCCCGAGTACAGTTAAAAAAGGTTAAAGTTGAATCATTTTTTATATACTGGATATATGAAATGTTAAAATGACATAAAAATAATACCTTGGCATATTTTGCTAAAAATAAATTGAAATATTTAAAAAAAATCGAAAAATCGAAAGATTACCCGTACTCGCCCCTAGTTTCATGATTCCTGTGGTTTTTTGACGTCATACCGCTGACAACACATCTTCCTTTCTCTCGCCAATACTCAGAAAAATATTGTTAAAAAAGTGATTTTTAGCCGTTTTTTGAGCAATAGAAGCCTTTAAATACATAAAACAGGTAAGTTAGTTTGGTACTTTATGCGAAAATTTGGCATTTAACTCTAAAAAAGGTTTAAGAATGGCGTAAGACGACAAGCAAAATAAGCCAATAATTAAAAATGGCAGCCAATTTCTTCTCCAACCGTGTGCATAAAATCAGCTTTCAAAAGCCCTTTTCACCGTGAAGTTTTGCTCATTAGCAATAAAATTTGTGCTTCATATTATAAACTCTTTAATAAGTTTATTTTTCAAAAGCATAATTTTGTATTTTCTGATTGTTTTGATTAGAAGATTACGATTATAAACAATTTCCATTTTTAGAAATTAATTTTTTGAGTTTTAAATCTTATTTTTTTGCAAGTTAGGTAAAGTTATTCATGTTTAAAATGTGGAAAAGTCATAGAAAGTACACTTCTGTCACCTGTGAGATCTCAGGTTTATTTCAGGGCTTTGCATCACTGGTTTCTCCGACTAGTCCAGTTTTCTTTCTTCCACAAAACCAAACAAGTCAGCAAAGCCACCCACAGGTTGTTTCCAGGTTATAAGTAACATTTTGAGGTTTTTATATTGTACAGCTTATCGAAACCTATTTTTTTTACAGAATAATGGGTGGCTCAGGTTCAAAGGATGGTGAGCCTAAACCCAAACATTGCTATCATTCCCCTTTGCCTATTGACAATGCACCATATAATGGACCACGGCAAGCATACTTGTTGTGTAAAGTTCAAGTCAAAATGTCCTCAAATGGTAAGCTAGATTCATCTTAACTATTTAGTTTGCTTGTTTAAATAATTTACCATTTGGTTTATGTCCTTATGTGAAACAATATTCTGGTTCTGATAATTAAACATTTCTTTGATAATTGTTAACTGCCGTTTTTCTTCATTCTGTAACTCTGCATGCCATTCTGTGGTGCTGTCTGTCATTCTGTGGTGCTGTCTATCATTCTGTGGTGCTGTCTGTCATTCTGTGGTGCTGTCTGTCATTCTGTAGTCTGTCTGTCATTCTGTGGTGCTGTCTGTCATTCTGTGGTGCTGTCTGTCATTTTGTGGTGCTGTCTGTCATTCTGTGGTGCTGTCTGTCATTCTGTGGTGCTGTCTGTCATTCTGTGGTACTGTCTGTCATTCTGTAGTCTGTCTGTTCTTCTGTGATGCTGTCTGTTCTTCTGTGGTGCTGTCTGTCATTCTGTGATACTGTCTGTCATTCTGTGGTGCTGTCTGTTCTTCTGTGGTGCTGTCTGTCATTCTGTGGTGCTGTTTGTCATTCTGTGGTGCTGTCTGTCATTCTGTGGTGCTGTCTGTTCTTTTGTGGTGCTGTCTGTCATTCTGTGGTACTGTCTGTCATTCTGTGGTGCTGTCTGTTCTTCTGTGGTGCTGTCTGTCATTCTGTGGTGCTGTCTGTTCTTCTGTGGTGCTGTCTGTCATTCTGTGGTGCTGTCTGTCATTCTGTGGTGCTGTCTGTCATTGTGTGGTGCTGTCTGTCATTCTGTGGTGGTGTCTTTCATTCTTTGCTACTCTCTGTCATTCCGTGACAAGTGTTTCATTCTTCATTACTATACCTAAAAGGAGCTATTATCAATTTTTTATTTAATTTAGTAACCTTTGGATTTACTGGTGGTCGGCCTATGGTAACAGCAGATATAGATTCCTACTACCCTATGCTAGTCCATTACTGTCAGCAAGGGTATCTGTTAACAACCTTTTACCGAGTGCCATTTGTTGCACAGATGTCTGGGTTTGCTTCAGTGGTTGTTCCATATGAAGCAATATTTTGTAAACCAGCTGATGGGTGAGTAATATAACACTAGGTTCGCATGTTTAATATGAATGCTATGATGTTAAGGAAGTATGGGTGGCATTAGCAGTGAAGATTTCAATACCAGATTGGATTGTTGTTGGGAGGAAAACACCATGTGCACGTGTGCATTCTCATTTAAAGCATGTGTTCTCAACCAATCAGAACAGAGATTTATAGCATGTATTTTATAATAATTGCTCCTGACAACTAAGCAAACAAGACATTGGTAGTGGTAGTAAAATGATTGTATTCATGCTCTATTCATAATATTGTTGATGGTGATTAATTTATCTATAGTTCACCACCAGAGGGAGGGATACCATATGAGTTGAAAATAGAGAAATCAGTGATGCAAATCCAGGCTATTAACTATGGGGTAATAACAGGACAAGGTACTACTGTGGCCAATACTAGTGATATCATACAAAAGGTAGGTCTAAATTTATTAGTATAGTTATATACTAGGTATACTATAATGGGTTATTATTAGCACAGAGAAGTATAAACTAATTCACAGGAGCTGGGGAGTGCCCTAAAAAGTGAATGGGGGGGGGGGGGGGGCTAAGATTGGAAAATATGGAAAATATATGAGACTAGTATGGGAAAAGGAAAAAAGTTGGGGGGGGGGGGGCTGTAGCTCACTCCATGGCTTCTGACTCAACATACATCCTTTATTTCACAACATTTTTTGGAGCATCAGAAGCCAAGCCCCAACCCCCCTTTCCCTAGTGGTGGTGCAGGTGTTCTTGTCTCTCTTTTTTTGCTGTTTATCTCTTATCATAACAATCTTACCAATAACTTAATGTGGCTCCATATAGTTTTTGTTCGTGCATGTGCCAGGTTATGCATGAGCATGTACAGTACCAGAACTTGAAGAATTTTTATTTTGATGACGTCAGGAAAAGTCGGTTGGGTGCGTTATTTAAAATGATAAAACTTGAAAACTACGTGGTCAAATATCTTTAAATTTCTACAGTTTTTTCTTCATAGAATGATAAGGCAACTGAGGCAATATGAAAAAATATTTGGACTGCAGAAAACGTTTTATTTTGAAAAATCGATATTACTTTAATATCTTGTTTTTGTAGTCATGATTTTGATAAAATGCTGTCATATAATAGGTAACAAAGCAAACTTTCATATTACACAATCTAAAAAATAAATTAACCATGGGAAACTCGAGATTTTAATTTTCTAATAACAAAAAGGGCCCGTTTTGTGGCTAATGTGTCGCTGCTATGGTAACTATTCACTTGATCATTTTCACGAAAAATGATTCCTAAACTCATAATCTTTAATATGGTTAGCGTATCAGATATCAAGATATAGTTCTGTATTTGCTATAAAATAATTTCTATTTCTATTTCTCTAAAGCCCGAGACTATATGAAGCCACCTTAAGTACATTTACTGCAATGTGATATGAAAATTTATCATATGACCCATATCTGCCCAGGAGCGCACTGTTAAAAAAACCTTCGGGAAAATGAAGTGAGCAGGGCCGTACTGCTTTGAGTGAGCAGGGCCATATGAATCCGTACAGCCCTGCTCAAAACCTGAAACCATGTTTTCTTTCTTTTCTCTTATTATTTTTCTTTTCATGAGGGTCATCTGATAAAATGCTTATTGACTGAGTTAGGTTGGGCCGTACGGGAAAATATGTGGCTCTCGGTTATTTGTACGGCATCACCTCGAGCCAAATATTTTCCTGTACGGCCCTCCCACTCAGTCAATAAGTACATAATATGCAGCAAAAATATATTATCTAATAGAACAAATAAACTGTGGTGCTGCTAATACTGAGCATCTCTAAACACCATGGTAATAGATTCATTCAAATTAATCTGTATCAGGAATCAAGGATGATGTACCATTCTCTCGTCTCTCACCTCAGGGATCTTGGGTTTGATTACTGGACTCTGCATCACATATGAGTAGAGTTTGCTATTTCACTTCCTTGATTAGAGAGGTTTTCTTCTGGGTTTTCAAACTTATTTCAATCCACCTAGTCCTAATAATGTACACATTCAATATGACACATTTATCATATGACCCGTACGGCCCTGCTCGCGCGCTCTAATAAAACCATTGGAAAAAGTCACGTGATGGGGGCCGGACGGGTTGACGTAAGCGGGCCGGAAAAACCCGTCCGGCCCTGCTCGAGTCTGCGCACTTTCTTTTTCTTAATTATTTTTATTTTCGTGAGGGTCATATGATAAAATGCTTATTGACTGAGTTAGGTCGGGCCGTACGCGAAAATATTTGGCTCTCGGTCATTTGTACGGACCTCGCTGCGCTCGGTCCGTACGACATGACCTCGAGCCAAATATTTTCCCGTACGGCCCTCCCACTCAGTCAATAAGTACATATTATCAACTCATATAAAAATCTAAGCATCAAGCATTTTCTTTTGAGAATATTATAGATGTGAAAGGTATATATGAGTGAACCGTATCAGGTGTTTTTGCTTCTAGTATAATTAGACTGAACTTTTTTGTCTATTGTCCACTTTACCTCCCTCCATAATTGAAGTTGACACTCAAGAATTCATTGTAGTCATAAGAAGTGATCTCCAAAATTCAAGCAGGCAGCCTGTTTCCCATTCATGGGGTGAACAAGGGTTAAGATCCATATTACCAAGACATCACAAATCACAAGTACTGTTAAGGTGCTGACACATGTCGCAACATTGCATGCAACATTGCAAGCAACAAATTTGAATCAGGGTGACACACCTTGCAAAAAAATCATGCAGCATCGCTTGTGTCAGCCTCCTATGTTAAGGTATTTCATGGTCAACAGTTATAAATTTGGTGCAAGCGTATTGGCTGATTATTTCAAAATGTTGCAAGTAATGTTGCAGCCATGTTCACATGATGAAATTTGTTGCGTGCAATCTTGCAAGAGTAGAAGGCGATTCAACTTCAGATTTGTTGCATGCAACAAGTTTGGGGTAGACACACCCTGCAACAGTGCTGTTCTGTGCAATGTTGCACCGTGTGTCAGCACCTTTAATGTTATAAAAGTGCTATAGTTTATGCTCATTATTTTTAAAATCAGATAGCCCAGTACTCATCGCGGGGTGGCAGGCTGGTATGCGTAGAAATGACTGGATGTTATTCTTCACAAGGCTTTTCAAATGCTATGAGAGGCATAAGTGGAGGTGAGCACTGAACAGAGATATATTTTTAATAGTACATGCTTTCATTGGATTTGGAAAAGCTATTCTTTTTCACTTGTATTGTGTAATTCCAGAAAATATCCATTCCCCCCTCCTCCACCGCCACAGAGGATTTTTTGAAAGACCCTCCTCCCCCTGGAAATTAATTCCAATTTCCTTCCATACAAACTCTGTGATTTTGTTCTTTCTCCGACCCCCATTCCCCTACCCCTTGGAATTTCCAAATTCCTCGGTGTGGGTTACTACACATTAGACTTGATAATTCAGTTATTATTGTATTTGTCATTCTAGATATGGGTGTTGATTTATTCTTCAATGTGCCTCGTATGCCCAATCCACCAATGTATACATACCAAGCCGTCAGTGTCCCTATTGTCTTCAGGGCCCATGTTGGGTTGGCTACTAGTGTTACTGTAGAGTGTGACTTCATGGGTCATTTTGCCCATTACTTGAACCAAGGCTGGAAATTGGTGGAGATATTCTTGGATCAAGGCACACATACTCATGGAGGTATTTTGTATTGCTCTAACTTATTTATCTCTCTCAGTCCAACTGTATTAATTTAGGTCACTTTTAGTAAAATCTAGACCCCATCTTGGTGTGAAGATTATATTTTGAATGTGTAGTTCCAAAAATTATCCATACCCCCTCCCCCATGGAGGAACTATTTTAAGACCCCCCTTGCCCCCCCATCCCTTCGGAAATTCCAAGTTCCTCTGTGGGGGGTGTGGATAATTTTTGAAACTACACGATAGGAATCTCTCATTGTTTGACCCCTGTATCCAGATCAGTTGCAATTTCTTCGAGCAGTTACCACATAAGGTGCATTGTGCCACTCTCACACCTTTAAAATTTTAACATTTTATCAAACTCTGAAACAACCTCTGAATGTAATCTAACTCAGTACATGAATAACTTACAGACCGAATCAGAAAATTGGGAAACCTGGAAAAAATGTGATAGACCTTATTCATAGTTCCAACTCCCCTTAGTTACCTTTGCTATGTACCACAAGCTTAACAAATTATCAAGAATAACTCAGAATTTAGAACTCTGATTGCAGAAATCTGATTATTAATTGTTTCATCAGTTTACTGTCCTGCAAAAAGAATAGGAAATTGACTCATAATACTTTTAATCTTTGCCTTGTAAACATCCTCTTTAAAATCTTCTTTTAAACAAATACTGTGTTGTTGTTTGTGGGAAAAGATTTCAATTGTTCCATTGGGAAAACTGCTGCATTGGTGGATGGTTTTCTATTGTCTGAGTCGGAACTATGAAATATATAGAACTCTACTCATATATTATGCTAAGTCCAGGTATTGAACCATTATTAAAATCCAAAGATGAGAGGCAAGTGGTACGTTATGTACTATGCTAGTCTTGATTCCCATCACACACACTATACAAGAAGATGGTTTGGAATTTGGGGTTTGGAATAGATACATGTGTTATGCTTTCCTAGAAACAAAATCTTGCTCATTGAGAATTAATAATTATTGTAAAATTCTAAACATTACCTATCTAGTTAAACTTCCCACTGGCATTAAAAAGAACTGGCATTAAAAAGAAAAGGAAAGGCCTCAAATAGACTGTTTTCTCAAGGTTGCGTGCAGATCCAAATTTAAGGAACTTGAGGGGCCACAATACCAGAACAGGAGCTATTGGATGAATATTATTCTACATTGCTGTGAAATTTTTTTCAATAAGAATTTATAAAATTGATTATTTTCCTATCTTGGCTTCTCAGTTTCTCTGTATTGGAGTTTTCCAGTTTTGTGGTCCGTCAAGTTGGATGAGCACACAACCTTGAGAAAACAGTCTATTATGCTGTAGATCAGAGGAAAAAAGTCTGATTCTAATGGGGAGCATGGGTTGCATGCACTGCCAATGTGTCCCAATTGTCCTATGCTGTGGTTTAAAAGCTAAAGCAAGGTTAAGGGGGAAAGGAGGAAACAGGGCTTTGTTTATTGCACCTTTGACCATTCTAAAATGACTGCTTACTACAGAGGAAATTATATGGTTTCACAGGCACATAAAATAATTTACCAATAATGTATGTGTTGCTCTGTTGTCTTCAGGTTTTTCAATGACAGCTCAACTCAATTCAGTCTGGTTCTTTGAAAAAGATTCTTCAAGACTTAATGACCCAAGACCACAGTATGAAGGCACTATTATTACCTATCAACACATCATCAAGGTAATTATTGGACTTCTGCATTAACCACCCACCCCCCTCCCCATCATCTTGCCTGCATTATTTTCTGCATATTTATCTTATATCTCATCTTTTTCTTCACTGATCCTGACCTCTCCCTTACTTGCTCCCTTCCACCCTTCCTTTCCTCTCATCCTCCCTTCTTGCCTCCCATCCTCCCATCTTTCCTCTCATCCTTCCTCCTGTCCTTCCTTCCTCTCTTATTTTCTCCCATCCTCCCTTGTTTTCTCCCATCTTTCCTCCCATCCTTCCTCCTTCCCTTCCTTCTTTTTCACTTCTTTCCTCCCTTCTTTCCTCCCATCCTCCTTTCCTCCCACCTTTCCTTCTTTTCTCCCATCCTTCCTCTTTTTCTTCCTTACTCTCTTCTTTTCTCCAATCCTTCCTTCTTTCCTCCCATTCTTCCTTCTTTCCTCCCACCCTTTACTCCAATCCCCCCCTCCCTCCCTTTCTTTTCTCATCATTTGTATCCTCATTGGAATCTTAGACTGCATTTGGTGGGGTGAAAGTCAAAAGTGACTGGACACCACTCATTCAGGAAATGGGAGAGAAAGGCTGGGAACTGGCTTGTCTTCTAGAAACACCAGAACAACAGCGAACTGGTTTAATGACAGCCCAAGTCAAAATATTACTGTTCTTCCAGAGAAGAATCGTTGGCTGAGGTGTTGTTCCAAAGTAATTCACCACTCATGGCAGCTGGTTTTGTCATATTTAATCCTCCTACAGCACAAAAAATGTAATTTATCATATTAGAGTTTTTTGAACTGATTTTGAGGTCAACTGTTGACATAGAATGGAAATTGAAATGATGTACATTTAATGAGAATTGGTGTTACTCCAAATGAAAAATGAAAGAAATGATGATTGAGCAAATGGACAAATGAATAAATATTTATACATTAAAACCTGTTGGCAGCTGCATGATACCCGCTGCTACCACGGGAGGAGGGGTAAGAAGCAGTTTGCATGATGACATCGTCACTTTACTGCCACTGCATAATTATTTACCACTAGAATGATTCACCGATATCAGTGTTTTCATTTTCGGATGATTCTTTTAACTTTCATTTCCTGGGACAATGACAAGACAGATTGCTAATTAACTAATCAGAAAAAAATGTGCAAGAAGGATTCTGGTAGTTGTAGTACATGACATAATGCATATGTATATTATATCAAGTGTGCAAATTTGTCTTGGAAATCTCACGATCTTAATAATAATAATAATAATAATAATAAATATTTATTAGTTGTAGTAGTAGTAGTTGTAGTACATGACATAATGCATATGTATATTATATCAAGTGTGCAAATTTGTCTTGGAAATCTCACGATCTTAATAATAATAATAATAATAATAATAATAATAATAATAATAAATATTTATATAGCGCCTATCCAAATCTGCTCTAGGCACTTTAAACAAAAAGAAAAACCACAAACTGTGGTAGGCTGTGAGCTTTGCTTGGCGCCTGTGGCTGCCGCTACACAACCCATACCACAGGAAAAATAAATAGATGATACGAAAATAAAATAAATAAACACACACGCACGACGAAGGTCAGACTGTTGTATCGGGTAACAATCCCCTACTCTAACGAAAAATACAACAGGATCTTTTACGTCCACTTTATCGGGGGTCAAGTGCAAGCAGACGGGACCTCCGGTTTTACGTCATCCGAGAAGACGCTTGCTTGATGGCTGTTGGCTCCAACGAGCTCCTCCTCTTCTCGTACAAAACGGAATTTATAGACACGAGTAATGTTTTGAAAGCTGTTTTTTTTTTAATTTGAGGACTTTCAAAACATCACGAGTGTCTACAAATTCTGAATCGTACGAGAAGATCGTGCGATTTTTTGTTTATAATATTTGAGCAACTTAATTTTGACTCTACAGAGTATAATTTGGGATTTAATTGTACTCCTATTTTACAATCAGAATAAAGTAATTTTGCTGAGTGTATTATAAGCTTCTTTATCAGTTTTAAAAACTCAATATAACTGAGAAATGTTTTCATGATTTTGTATTTGTAGATAGTTTAAAGCAAGTAACTTAACAGTTTTTGGTAAGTTGTATTGTTTAGAATAGAATACTTGAATTTGAAGCGCAAATAAAGGATGATTCATAAAATCTAATTTTCGCAATATACATACAGACAAAAACCGAGATTTGGCTGCCTGTGCATAAATCAGTGTACTGTGGTTCTTGGAACCATGGGCCTTACTCACGTGGAACAATATATTTTCCCAAACGTAGTCTCGCATTCAAGTGCTTGAGAATAAATTTCTGCGGCTTAAACAAAAGTTAAGTGGTACCCCTTTGAGTCTGTGAAAGCGATAGCAGCACTGTAAGTTAATATGAACATTGAATGCACTTCCATATGGTAATAAATGCAATCAATTTAAGAGTTTTTACTGGCTTCACAGAAGCAGTGAACTTATACCTATAAACATTGAATTGGCTTTCCCATGTGGGATTGTTTGCAGATCATTCTCTTCGTTTAACCCTATGCTAAGAAATGTGACTAAAAACAAGAACTAGTAGGAATAAGAGGTACAAGGAGCGCGAAGCATTCTGGACGTAGTAGTCAAATGACGTAATCGTAATAAAATTCCAATTCCGAAATCATACACGCAACTTCTATTCGCGCAACTTCTATTATGAATGTTGTTTGTCCTGATTTGCATGAGGCAACAGGGCCGTAACCA